TTCTACCTACGGTGCTCCGCTTTAATACTTTAGATCAGTTTTCAATTATTTAAGGGTGACGCAGAGGTAGTATCACCTCAGTTTAACGTGGGTGTTCTTGTGAAGAATTGGGACGGGTTTGAGTCTCCTCATTGAAGAATGGCTGCAGTTTGTCTCAATATAGACACGGTACATCCGAAAACATCCTTCATGGATTTGATTTGTGGAAATAATATGATTCCGTTGACAAACCACCAAAAATCACAAAAAGATTTTTTTTTTATATGCTCAACAAAGAAAATGTAATAAGTAGCGAATATTTATGGCTTAATGTCCTTCACATATTGCCGAGTAGTTTTATTTGAAACATTTTCTTCTTTGTTGAACATGAAAATCTTTTGTTCAAAAAAAAAAAAAAAAAAAAAAAAAAGTTTTGATTAAGATGACGGTGCTACAGAAAGCCAAAAAGGACAGATACAGGCAAGATACTAGAGGTAGTACTGTAAGCAGATAAGTTTTCTTAGCTTTGTAAGAAACTATTCAGACGCACAGCCAGACAGACTGACACTAAGAGCCTGATCCATGATCCTAAAACCTCATCTCCCCCTTTGGCCCTCTGGCCACCCTCATCTCTATCCCCATCTCCATTTCACTTTCTTATTCCACAGCCCCAAAGCCCAGCTTTCCCTCCACACACACACACACGCGCAGACGTACACACGACAGTACACCAGGACCCCGAAGACTACATCTCAAGCCCAAAGCATTCTCTAAAGCCAATCCCTGAGTTGACGAAATCGAGCGTAAGGCGTGATTGATGAGACGGATTGGAGGCAATGCTGCAGAGAGGGAGAAGTGAGACCGAAGATCTCGCTACTCTCCCACGCCACCACTGCTACCCCTGTGATGACATCACAACGGACAGAGACCTTCAAGCCGGCACTGCGATTAAGTACGATTAGTTTTGTCTGGGGTTGACAGATCCCGGTGGATTTTCAACTACAGAAGAGGTTTTGTGGGTGTTGTAAGTTGGAGAAAGAAAAAAAAAAAAAAAAAAGACAGAAATAATCAGAGAAAATATTTTTTTGTTTGTTTTGTTGTTATGGACAGTAGAACAATCAATCTGTTGATTATGCTAACATGAGCCAGGTTTTTTTTTTTTTTTTTTTTTTGTTCACGTTGCCCCTGACGGATTCTTGGAAATAAAAAGATCATGTTCTCTGAGATTGCACATTTACAATGGCCTAAAACACCTCGATACATTTTCCACTAATTTTACCAAATTGCTACACTTGTATATATTCCACAAAACCTGACAGAAACCAACAGTTAAATATCTACAACATTTAATGGGTTACATTATTAGAATTGGCTTGTGAGATCATTTATGCTAAAAGTATTTTTTTTTTTCAAGGCAAAGTAGCTGTTCTAACATTTTACTTCAGTTCATCCAGTTACATTTTTAAAGCAGATTGAAGAGACAGACAGACCATGATCAAAGTGGTTACTTATATTTACTGCTGCATGAAGATGAAAATGCAGAAATGAGGCATACGGGCTCTGCCAAATTAAGGGCGTGAACAGGGAAGTAATATGTTCTGGTTTTTCAAAAGTCTTATCAAGTTCCTAGTTGAAGGGCTGCAACAAAAATGGCCTAGAATTGGACAAGAAGTTCTGTGCATGCAGCATGTAAAATAAGTAACTGCTAACAAAAACAAAAAGCAAATTCAACGCGTTACAAAAAATGGAGATACATTTCAGTAAGTGGTGAAATATTGAACCCCAAAAGTTTTGAGGGATTCGCAAAAAGCACAAGTTAATTAAAGCACATGAATTCCTCATGTATTTTTGTTGGAACATGAACACATTTTTATAATCCAATCTCAGACACCCAATATCCCTTGTATCATGCTCTAATACTGCAAGCTGGATCTGTATAATGTAAATAAGGCTGTACCGTTTGTGTTTTATTGTTGCACAATCAATGCAATCATGTTGGTTAACTAAGTCCACTTGTTCCTGCCATATATGTGCAACCATCCTGTGCTGGAGTAAGGAACCACATTCTAGCTACAATCTGGAAAAACCCATCTGCTCCTTTTAAAGACATGAAAATTGGTGGGTTTTTGGCAGAAAACATTTTTTTGTTGTGCTTCTTTACATATGGAAACGTTAAAATTTGTTCAAACAAATGGCGATCTATATTCCTAGGTGGCAGTTTTGAGAAAATCAGATTTGTCGAGGCTACCGTCAAAAACCAGTCTTAATGTCGCTAACATATGTTAGCAAAGCTAGCATACCATATCTGGTGCAGAGAAAGGGGAAAATGTACACTTAAAGATAGTTTGATATTTTTTTTTATTTTAATCTTAATTTTGTTAAACACTGGAAGTGTCTTGACTTGAACTCCACAATAAACACCGTAATTTGGTGATTTTATGAGTGAAGTTAGAGAACTTATTAAAAATCTAACAATGTATCGGGTAAAGGACAAGGAGGAACATGGCCCATTTCCATTTGGAGAGTGCTTTCTTGTTTTTTGTTTGTTTTTTTTTTGTCATATAATGTAAATAAGGCTGTGTTCTGTAGCCCAGAGTCAACAACACATCAATATGAGACCATGAGCAGACTAGTAATTTCTATAGCTGGCACTGTGGGGGGAAACAAACGACAAATTCCAATTTCTCTGTTTCTGACACACTGCAAAGCAGTTTCTGGGAGATTTCCCTGCAATCGTTTTCCTACCACCACGCTCAAACTGCTGGAGGTGGTTGAAAGTGGAGGCAGGTGGTGCAGAGCTCCAGCTAGCCACACAAGTCAAGGATAACAGAGAGATTGTACTCAACCTTTCGGTTAACCCAAAACATGATGAGGTTTTTCACTGTCTCAGAGGTCAGAAGCACAGCGGAGATCTTTAGAAGTCGTTTTTTTTGTTTGTTTTTTTTTTTAAAGTCTGAACAACAAACCCTGCTTTCCCTTACACGCAACCACATAAAGAGAGACTTTCATCTCTCCTAACACTGCAGCAACTATGCCGACAGTGTCAAAGTGCTGACTCGTTGGCCTCCTCCGCCAATGCCGCCCCGCTGTCGACCAGGCATGTCCTGATAAATAAAGCAACAAATGTAATGGAAAGAGAAAACAAGGGAAAGGCAGGAGGACAGAGGCAGCGAGAGAGCTATAATTAGTAGGTGATTAACGAGCAGGCATTAGACAGGTCCCACATCATTGATCGTGATGTTGTGCAATGCTGCTGTAGTGAAAACAAGCTGGCCCTGGGAGAAGGGGGTACGAGTTCACAACTCCACACCCACACGCATCCAACCACACAGGCAAACAAAAGGGTTTGATGTGTTTCTGCAGCGAGAACAAATGGTCATTATTGAAAACGATGAAGATGTGAAGTGCATTTTGAGAGACCCCGACAACCACTCAGGAGCTCAAAAGACTTTGTTTTTAAAAGGACACTAAAAAGAAATAAAAATGGTACCATCTTTTACGTCACCTTGCATAAGTATTTATAGCCTCTGGGCGGTTTTTTTTTTTTTTTTTTTTTTAAACCACAAACCTCAAAGTGTCTTGGGATTTTATGCGATGCGTCAACAAAAAAATGTGTGCATAACTGAGAAAGGGAAAGACGACGCTTCATGGCTTTCAACAGTTTTTACAACAAAAAAAAAAAATCTGAAAATGAGGCCATCACTTGTATGCAGCAAAGTTAATACGTAGAACTACCTTTTGGGGTCTCCAACCCACTTTCTGTATCTAGAGACTCCGATAAGGCCACAAACTGAAAGCTGGCGGTCTGTGTTGCTGGAGAAATTATGTCACCAGATCTATTTTCTTCTCCATCCCCTTAGAAATATGTGACACTGAGCTGGAAACAACAGGCTGTTAGGCTGGCATTTTTCAAAAAAAGATAAAATAAAATAAACCTCTATCACTGAGATTAGATGGAGAGCATCTGTGAACAAATCCTCAAATAAGTGCAACAATAAATATAACATGTTAGATGATGTCTTTTTTTTCATACCAATGCAAGGCCAGGGTAAGTAGTTATTTTATTTTAGCTGCTGTATTTACTAGATGCAGTTAAGTCAGCGCAGAGCTCACCACTGCTCACCACCTTGTCACCATCATATGGCTCTCAGCACAGCAGCGGTGCAGGTGGGTTGAGTGATGCGTCGGAGATGTTAATGAGCCACGAGGTTTACTTGAAACGTGCAACTCATTGGCAGAAACCAAGGCAAAAAGGGTGCAGATTGTCATCATTTTCTCAGAAATTTGTGGTTTCTATCTTTTTTTTTTCCTCCTTTGTTGCTCTGCCAACTTGCTCATACATTCGCCATGGAGCGTCAGAAATACACTGAGGTTTGTGGCTGCAAAATGATGAAATGTGAAACAGTTCAAGCAGTGTGCTTTTGCAAAGAACTCTACATAAAAATAGCTTTTCATTACTATTCTGATACATTTCAGGCATGCAACTGCAACACCCTCCATTTTATCATTTGAGTCCAAATTTCAATTCTGTCCGTATTACACATACGTCTGCAACCCCTTCCAGTTTCCTCTTGTCTCACGCCATTCTGACTCATCACTACCTTCCACTCGACATGAGCCAAACTTCAAACTCTACTGTCACAAAGGGGCGGAAGGAGCCGTACGGCCAGGGGGGAAAAAAATGCTGATGAAGGCAATAAGAGATGAGAGCCTCCCGTTCTGTCATGCTTTTGCACTCTTCTGGAGCTGGCCAGGTGCCAACACCGGTGTACTCTACAGGCACAGAGTGTTGGTCCGTCACGCATCTTACTCCGTCCTTGCCCCTTTTCTCACTCTGCCAAGCTAATGACGATGACAATAGGGGAGCACTTAAGAACTTGGTACAGAGTTAGCCGAGTAAGGAAACAGGCTTTCACCAAAATGACCTAAGGTTCTAAATAGCTGCAGGAAAGTCTGAGAGACGACATTTTAGCAGCCGCCAACATGTTGAGCAGTGTACGTCCCACTGACTCCCCACCTACCTTGTCGTTGTTGTAGTAGCCCAGACTCTCGCCGTCAAATCTCACCCATCTTCTTTGGAAAACACAATTTCTGCAAAGAGAGATGCAAAGGTTAGGTGAGGGGGGCGGGGGAGAAATAAAAAATCTAAACCCAATTTGAGAGAATCATGAAAAGCGAAAGCTAACCCCATTGGTGTGAAGACAGTGAGCTACTAATCTACTCTGCACAGGTACTCATATTTTACCATGAGTGCCACTGATCCATTAGTGTCAAAAGTCGTATCAACAGCTGTCAATTATCTTAATCAAAATAAATGGCCACATTGAGTCTGAATATTCAACAGCCCAAGGGCAGTTTGCCAAAGCCATGCAAATCAGGTGCTGAAGGAGACTATAAGAAGCAAATAAATGATTGATAGCGTGGCTTCACAGTAACACTGATGCATGCAGTGCCAGAAGACTGAAAAGGAAATCTAGTTTTGCCAAGAAAACCAAACTGAGTAACAGCAAAAGAAGGCCTGCGTCTCAAAACCACAAGGTTTACTCCCACCTTCCTTCCTTTGTCTAATATTAGACTCATGCAAATTTGATAGAGCCGCTTCGCATGTCTGTCCGTGGAGCCATTCGTCAGTTCAGCATATTTAAAGGATCAAGACACACGGAGCATGAGAGACCCAGAGGAGGATGAACGCTCAATCTTTCATCTGAGACTTGCAGAGGCATCAGGAGAAATAAACTGTCAAGCTGCTACGCTTGAGCTACCACTGCAAAAATTAGAGGCACATGAGGACAGTCACCGACAGCGTGCCTGTTAAATGCACTATTTCGACATTCTCTGGTTTTTCAATTACACCATACCACAACAAGATCATTGTGAGCCATTTAACCTTAATGGCGAGAGACGTTGGATTTAGTTTTTTCTACTTGGTGTCAGATCTCTTCACAACAGAACAATGTGGCTGTTTATGTGATTGAGGGGGAAGGCATTAGAAGAAAAAAAAAAAGTATGTCTTGATCTAGGCGTCCTGCAGTGGTTTAACTGCCACTGCTGGTAGTATTCGAAAAAAGGGCACACAAGAGAAACTGTACTCGCAGCTCTCGGTGAACTGCAAATGACACAAGATATCACCTTATTGAAAACACTAAAAATATGACTTTGCAATGCTGCCAAGCATCTAAAATGCTCTGAGTGCTGTAAACGCTACAGGTCTGCCTTCAATTGCTTTGCAGCTGGTTGCCAACCAGCAACCTTTGGTGAGGCTCTGCATACTAGTTCTCCTTTTCATGAAACTTCTCTGTTAAGCCTCAGATAGACATGATGGTCCAGTTCTACCGTGCATTTGCTTACAGGATGCGAGTTGAGGTCTTAGGCTTATCACAGTTTTATATCTTTTTTTTTTTTTTTTTTTGGGTGTTACCAAGTCACAGCTGTTTTCGTAATAGGCCGCTCATTAAGCATTACTGCTTTCATTTATGTCAGGATTAATCGCAATCAGATTTGTTGAGCTATTTAGTCACATAGAGAACAAAAAAAAAATCTTTTAGATTTGTTTTGATTTTTTTGTTGTTGTTTTGTTTTTAGGGGTGGGGAAGTGCCCCTCTGGAGCAGCCACCAATGCAAGGGTACAGAGATCCTTATGAGAGGCCCCATAGGCCAAAACATACAAACTCTCTTACACGTACTATCGAACCCTCTCACATTCGTTATCAAAC